GCTTCTGCTTGAAGGCAGGGGGATGTCCAGGGTGACCTCTGTGATCTTAAGAAACAGACCCATGTCCTGGTGATCACATTGCCATCTCTTGCTGCCCCTCTTGGTTTTTTTTCCCCCTCATTCACAAGAATCACAACTATTGGGACAGAGCTGGGGACAGGGAGAAGCAGGGAAGGGACAAAAAGTCCCTCTGTTGGAATTTCCCCTCCCATAATCCATCTTCATGCTGGACCTGTGGGCTGGAGGAGATAAAGCTTATCTTATCAGCTCTGCCACTGTCTCAGGGCCTGAGAGGGAGAGGGAGAGTCACGGCCAGGGCAGGGTGGGGGCCAGGAAGGGGCAAGTGGCAGCAAGTGGATGCTAGAGAGTTCCCTGAGAAGTAGGGTCATTTCTCTGGAATATTAATTCATGTTTTTTCTTATCCTCATTTTAAATAAGTTTTTTTTTCTTCTATCAAACCAAGCCTTTATGTTCCCTTTTCTCAGGGGTTGGGTTGTTGGGCACAAAGCAGAAGCTGTCTGAGCTTGCTTGTCAAGAGGAAATTTCCAAGCCTTCCTGAGAGGAGAGAACAGAGGCTTTGAGATGAAAGCATGGTTTCAGAAACTCCCCTGAGAACAGAAAGAGGTTCTAACCCTCACAACACCCAGGGCTGGGGGCTGGGGTGGGCAGGGTGAGCGGAAGACGCGACTTCAGAGGAGGACGGTCTGCAGGGCCCCCAGAGAGGAGGACAACAGCGGGCTGACCTGCTCTTGAGGGACTCTGTGCCCGAGCAGTGAGCTTGTCAGCAAGTGACAGCAGGGACCGAAGACCAGAGGACCCTTCCCAAATGTCTCAGGCTCCTCAGACCTCTTTACAACGCCAGAGGGTAGGAAGGAAGGGGCTCCCCAGGGTGACTGAGACGGAATTTACTGCCATCCTGTCAGGATGGGGTGGAGCACCTCGATGGTTACACTTGATTTTTTTTAACTTTTTAAGAAGGGGGACATACTTTACAGCTCACATAGTGAAGTAAAATTCATGCTTGCTACACTTATTCACAAACACACACACATACACACACACACATGGAAATGCATGTCTCCATGTCTACAGGCTAGTCGGCAGACACACAGCACATAAGCTTACAAGCAGTTACAAATGACAGAGACAAGCAGAAAGATCCACGCTCCTGTGCACACCAGTGGCACATGTCCACAGACAAACTGACAGTCACACAAAGCACACAACAACACACTTACTCAGAGGCCAGATACGCACCAAACAAGTACACAGTCAACACAGAGACACAAAAAACCTCTCAGATACACAGGCACAGACACTAATTACAGACTCTTACCCAAGCACAGTTTACAGACACACGTGCAAACTCACATCCACAAATGACATGCAAAGTCCTACAGAGACACAAACTAAAACAGAAAGACACACCTCAAGTACACACAGACACACACAGATCACCCACAGACGTCCCTATACAAAAACCTCATGTGAAATCTGCAGTTCACAGGCCCTCCAGGCCCAGCAGTTGTTATGGGGGCTGGGGGTGGGGGACACCATCCTCCAACCCTGGCCTGAGGGAGAACTGGGCCCAGGGGTCCCCATTTGGGGAGCACCTCGTCACTCTGAGGGATGTTGCTTCTGAGAGACAGCCCCTCTGAGCCCATTTTCCACTTTCCCTGCCCACCCCCCACCCCAAGCTTGGCTGCATGCCCCCACTCGCCAGTCTGGCCATTACCGTGCTGAAGTTGGGGAAGAGACTGAGCGGGGCGGCGCCATTGAAGTGGAAGGCGAGCAAGTGCTTGAAGTCCAGCGGGGGCTGCAGAGGCCTGGTGGGCAGGGGCAGGGAGGCCAGCAGGGGGCTGGGGGCACCGGAGGCCGGGCCTGCTGCAGGAGAAGAAGGGCAGGGTCTGAAATGGGGAGCCACAGGGCTCACTCCTCCCTCCACAGACAAAACAAGAGGCTGCTGGGCTTCTTGGATGTGGAGCCGGGGCAGGAACTTCTGTCTCCCTCTTGACAAAGGAGTCCTGGGCAAGCCCAGGGCGATGACAGCCCATTTCTGTGCCTCTTCTCTCCACAACTGGGGAAGCAGAAGCAGGGAGTCCACAGTTCCAGGCTCCTACCCCAGAAGGATGCCCCTCCCCCAACAACTAAAGGGCAGTATAATGGCCCAAATGAACCCCAGAGGGGAGTCAGGCCAATGGAGTCAGGGTGGGGCCCTGACATACACACCACCATGGAGACTGCACGATGCACTGGGATTCCACTTTATTGCAAATTAAACCCAAATGCAGGCCTGGGGAAAGACCAGCCCCCTCCTCTCTTACTAACTATCCCCCTCCAGATCTCCACATCATTCACAGTGAGGGCTGACAGAGAGGAGAGGAAACCCACTGGAATCTGAAGGGGTGTGTCCCCCAGCTCTGGTGAGGCCCCAGCTGCTTCCCCCAGGAGGCCAAATGCCCTCCAACATCCCTGGGTCAAGCCTGAGGCAGGTCCTGGGAGTCTGCTGGTCCAGCCCTGTGGTTTTACAGTCTTTGGTCTTAAAGGTCTGAAGCAAGGGCAGGGGAAGGCATGAACTTGTGAGGAAGAAAAGAATTAGAAATAAATTCAGTCCATTTAGGACTTTTTTAGACCCCGACATTGCAAAACCAAAATCCTTTTAGATTTTTTGTGTTAACACTATGAAAGATAGGACAAACCTATTTTACATTTATAGACATATCTGTCTATATCCAAGGCCATATACAGAAAAGCCTCAGGCAGCCTGTTGGTGAGGAGGGCACCACTACTTCCCTTGAATTGTTAGCTTGTGCACAGAGAGGGTGTTGTGCTGTGTGTGAAAAACAAGGATAGTCACCTGCTCTTCATCCATACCTGAAGAGAAGCTGCTAGGAGGGCGGCTAACAGCCAAGGACCCATTCTCCTTTCCCTTAACCCCTCAATTGAGGAGACCCAGTCTTTCTTCCTCCTGCCAAGACCCCTCAGCTTTTCTAGGGCCAAAACTTGAGCTGAGTTCAGAAAGGAAAGGGTGAGCTACTCCCCACCAAACTCTGGACAGATCAGGAATGATATTTAGGGTGCCCCAGAACCTAGCATCTCTGCCCACTGGCCCTAGTCCCCAGACCTGGGCCCTCCTCCACAGCCCACGGGGTTGGGTTAGTACTCAGCGTGGGGCAGAGGAAGCTCAGGGAAGGAGGGTGGGAGGCTACAGTTAGCAGGTCAGCTTGGGTGCAGCCTGATCAAGTTAGGCTTGGTCTTTGGAGTGCCCAGGGCCCTGGGCTGGCTTGGGGGAGGAGAGGAGGCCGCCCTCACGTGAGCTGCGACCCCAGCAACCCCTCGCCCCACCCACTCTCTAGGAGCTCCACCGCCAGCGCAAAGTCAAACTCGTGCAGCGGAGGCCCATCCACCGCGATCTTCACCGCGGGGCCGCCCCCGCCTTCTCCGGCCCCGCCCGACCCCCACCACCGCAGCTCCCGGCT